ATCAAATATAAGCAAAAATAATAATTTATCTTTTTTATAATATACTATATCTTATTTTAAATATTTATACTTTATAAAGTAAATTAATAAATTAATTTATATATTCTTTTATTATTTCTTGTTTTAAATTTTAAGTTTATTTTGTCAAGTATTAATCTTGTTTTGAATATAAAATTTTTGAACAAATAATATTTTAAATTTTACTTAATATAATTATTATTTTAATTTATTATATCTTTTTTGATTATTTTATTTGTCTTATAATCTTTATTTATTTCAGAATTTTTAATTAAAATAAGAATCTTTTAATTATTCAGAATATTAATAAAAAATACTAATTTTGTTAAGAATTCTTTTAATATTATTACCATTTTTTTATTATTATAACATTATTATTAAAAAAAGAGTTTAAATATTGTGATTTATATTATTATTTACAGTGGATATCAGAAGAATGCAACATTGAATCAATTTTTAAATTATTATATTTTAAAAAATTTAAAGATATCAAATAGATTTGGTCTATTACATATTATAGTTTTATTACAATTAAACAAGATATTTTAGAAATTTAAAAAATATATAAATTTCACTGTTGCATTATTTCTGTTCTTTTAAAAATTTAAAATTCATAATTTTTATTGAATTTTTTTGCTAAACTTAATACATTAAATCATTTCAATATATTTATAGCCTCTTTGGCTTTTATTATCTCTTGAACCCTTCTTGGTATAGAATAAAATTTCGACATTGGTTTCTTCCCATACCTTCTCAATTTTTTCCCATAGATCTTCATGAGGACAAAGCAAAAATTAAAAAACGAAAAAAGTATGACATTATGTTTTTTTCGCATCATTTAATTCATCAAAGTTATATCAAACACGTGATGCGAAAACAAGCATAATAAATTATTTTATTATAAATGCTATATTTTTTCTTGCTTTTCAATTTTCCCGCTTAACAGGTAAATCAGATAAATTCGCTTTTTTGTAAATGGTATTTAGATTAATATAATTCTTTCGTAGTAATAAATTTGCGAAGATCATCTTTTCATTATTCAAATGTACTTGTTTTTTTAGTTATTCCATAAGCCGGTTCATTAATTTTTCGTAGTGCAGACTGGCAATTAAGAGTCGGACAAGATTAATTGCCAACGAATTTACAATAATACATGTAATGTAATAAATAAATATGCACGCAGCGATATTTACCGTATTTTCGCGAACGCCCACCTGCGCGTGATTTTGAATACGTGCGTGTGCGTTATTTCGAGACAAAGGGTAGATTTTCTGCTTTAAAAATTTTCGTATTCTAAAATTATTATATATTGGACTGGGCCGAACTAAAGATCGAAAGTCGATTTATAATATCCATTACAACATACCTTCCAATTATAAACTTTTTGAATGCATATTTTTAGCATAATTATAGAGGAAGATTTTGTTAGAATAATTTTAAAATATATCACTGTATTTCGATATTAAAAAGTTACTGTACGTAAATCTGCCGATACATATGAGGTGCGCGTTGTTTCGGAACGCCTACGAGCGTTATTTTGAAACTGTTTTAAAGGGTAGAATTTTCGAAATAACGCCCGCCCGTGGGCGTTATTTCACGAAAATACGGTAAAGAAAAAAAAATAATGCACGAAAATATGAAAAATCGGATGGGACACCTTATTAAACCATGACCTCAAACTACAATTTGAGCAGACTTAAACTGCACAATGCCACGGTTCTATAATCATAAAATAAAACTGGTTCGGCCGGCTTAAACCGCGGTCTTGCTCCGTTTTCCTACAAGTCGTTAACATCACTAACCAAACTTTCTTCTATTCAAGATACATTTAGATCGGATATTCACAATATCATTACAGAGAACTCTCACTGAATGCATCCACTATAAATGCACATTTCTATAAATGTATCCTATATTTCGGTCCCAACCTCTAATAAAACTTATAAAATTGTTTTCTATAAATGCACACTTATATCTGGTCTCGGTGGCATCTAGGGAGACTTTTCTATATATAGAAAATTAATAAACTAAGATTGATATACTGTATACATGTACATATTTGAGCAACAACCAGTTTTTTTATGTTGTCCCTCTATTGTAAAGAAATTGTGTAATTCTTCGAGTGACGAGTATCTACAGAAAGATGTATTACACGTAAGTTATAATAATTATGATAATGTTGTTTTTATGAGCTTGTAAAAAAGTTAACTAAAGAAGTTAAAGCTTAACTTAATTTAAAGTATAAAATTCAAAAAAATCTTGGTCTAATTAACAAAGAATCAAAACGTGAAATAACAATGATTTGTGATTGTATTAAACAATATTTTTAAAGACATCCCATATACATGTACTTACAGTAGCGGTCATAAGTAACCGACCCCCACCATTTCTCAAAGAATAAAGTGAAAAGAAAAAAATTTTTTTTTATTTTAAAGCATGGTATAAACCCTGATCTTTAATACATAGTATAGTCACCATTGGCTTCTAATAGTGCCACAAGCCTGCTTTTCATGCTATTGACCAAATTAATAGCAAGCTCGGTCGAAAGTTTATTCCATTCTTTCCTTATTTCCCCACTTAACCCTTGGACAGTTTGAATTTTTTTTGATATTTTAATTTTTTAAAAGTCACCATGCATTTTCAATAGGTTTTTTAGAAACCTGAAAGAGCAGCAGAGGGTCGACGACGAACTGTAAATGAGTTAATGGAGAGAACGCGTGATTTTTATTGGAGGATTGAATGAGAGGGGAGACATCGAACAAACGATATCATTTATCGAAAATTTAAGAACAAATTTAGAGTCTCTCTTAATTTGAACAATATTTTTTAACAATTAATTTTTATTTTACGCTTCTACAATTTTTATTTATAACAATTAGTTTCATTTTAAGCATAACGATTAGTTTCATTTTAAATATAATTGTTTGTATTATGACAATTATTTTTTTATTTTAAGCATCTATAATTTTTAAGCAAATAATGCGATTTTAATCATGACTTGTAACACTAATTGAAGGTGTATAGAGTATACTTTAATTGTTTACCGTATTCTCCCGGAAATAAGCACCACCTGAGAATAATGAATAAATAAGAGTCACGCATCTCATGTATGAAAACTGCTCAGGAATTATCACCATCTTCATTTGCTGTGTAATGCTTATTCTCGGATGAATCCTGGTAGGTATTCTAGAAATCCTATTTTTGAGTTCAAAAAACGGTGCTTATTTCCGGGAGAATACGGTATTAGATTTTGACAATTGTAAAAGTTTTTATCTCAATTAGTAATAATTTTATTTCAAATTTATAATTCTCTTCGACGAATACTACTTGCACAGCTGTAACAAATCACTTTGTATGAGTGATCCATCTCACCTCTTCATTTCACATAACCGCATCATTACTATTGTCCAACTTTCACCCCAATTCACTGATCTGGATCTTCATTTATTTTGTTCATTTTTTGTAAAATGAACATTATCGCCATGTATATAGTTAGAATACTTTTTTTAAAAAAAAATTACCTTTGATTTTGTAGCCCGAAGTATTTTGAGGAGCAAATATCAAAATGAAAATAGTGCAGACTTGTTAGCGAGTGTAGAATGATGAATAGCATAGTGGATGATTAGCGAGTAGTAAGAAATAAAGGAGGGGGGGAGAATTTATTATAGTGAATAAAATAATAAGGAAGTAGGAAAGTTTATTTTTTGTTCAGCACAATGGTAAAATTACACACATACATACACACACACCACACACACACACAGAGCGAAGCTCTTGACAATGTGATAATGGTAAATGTATGATTTATGACTATTATTCTCTTCGGAGAGTCGGAGAATCGATTCCGAAGTGTACATCAGCCACTCGGATCACGTGATGGACTACGCTTTAACCGCTCTCCAACTTTGGTCCTTTTGGATGTTGGTGCAAAAATACTATTTCATATCGTTGTGTAGTGGGAAGCGACATTTTTTGGGGATACAAAAATCCGATTGTTGCTCAGCCCCTTTAAAATAATTTCACTGACTCAAAATAGTAGCGTTGGTATTACCCTTTCTAAGTAAGACACTATTGTAGGGAAATGGCAGGGGGTCGGTTGTTTATGACCGCTACTGTACCTATTGTTACGTAGCACAAATACATGAACTGCGACTTATATGAAATTTCTTAATCTGGAATTCACAATAGGAGCAAATTTTTGTCAATAACCAATAAGAATGCACAAATTTTTGATCGACCCAATTAAGGTCCTAAGGGCAATTTATATATATTTTTATTCCTCGGATGCGCTCAAGCGTGGTGAACATGTGATCCAGTCCCTCTAAATTTTCAGTGCGCAATAGGGGGTTAGGGTTGAGGTATTCCGAAATTTTTAATTAACTTTTCAAAGACATCGATTTTCACATTTCAAATTTTTTGCTTAGGTTGATTAAAAATTTGAGCATCCTTATTTGGTGATTGACAAAAATTTGCGCATCCTATTGGATGGATTATACGTGCTCACCACGTTTCCCAGATTAAGGATACGACAAAAAGTAAAAAAATTGATTCATGGGATGAAAAAAATTGATTCATGAATGGAAAAATAAACAAACAAATCAATAAATAGTTTCTGGTTATTACTGCAGATAATAAATGAACCACTGATGAACCTTACTATTAGAAGCAACCTGAATTACATAAACAAATGCATGCATGTATATGTATCATGTATTATGTATTAAGACTTGAGGTGTTGTCGGCTCAAACAGAATATATTGCTTATGTGCTAAAAATACCACATGGAAAATAAAACGGGAAAAGAAAATAAATTGTTAAGTTACTGCGGAGACAGTAATATATATATAAAGAAGCAATAACTTTCAGAAATTCTTAAGATTAAAAACTCATTTTTGTTAATATATTTTTGATTCTGTTCTTTGTATAAACTTTTATAAACATATATAGAAATATACTATTTTTTAAATTTAAACATAACAAAAATGATTATACCGTCATATGAAGACACTACACCAGCTGGGACATTAAGAAATGTCACACATTTTCTTCATTTGAATCAACTCGTGGTAGGATTCAAAGCATTCGACCAAGTACAACCGATCGTAATTATCGGTATTCATGGATGGCAACCAAAACTAGTACAACCATTTGTAAAATTAGATTCGAGCCTATTCTGCGGAAAAATGGCTGAAGCAATCCGTTTAAAACTGAATTTAGGTCCAAATGAAGGCAAGATTACGAGTATACCTTTGAATGGATACGGAACGGTTCTTGACCGACGAGATACCTTCTTGAAGCAAATACAAAGCAACCAAACGACAAGTGATAATATCAAAAAGGCCAAAACATTGTTTGTGGTCGGACATTCGCAAGGTGTTCCCGTTGGTGCTCTTTTACTGCAGAAATTGATTGAAGTCGGGTTAGTCAATCCCGATCAACAACAGATTTGTGCTTGTTTCATGGCGGGAATTTCGCAAGGGCCTGCTTCGAGACTTGATGTTGGAGAATACGTTTTTGAAGCAGTGGATGATAAGCAGTCAGCGGAATTATTTGAATTTCAAACTTCTTCGTCAAAATTATCTCAGACATATCGTGACGCTACACTGAACATTTTGAAGTGTGGAGTCAAGATTGTATATTTTGCTTCTGGAAATGATGAAGGAGTTCCGGTAAATATCTTTCACGATTTATATTATTATTTACAAAGAAATAAGATTGTAATCAAATTTTGATGTTGGCAGCTTCATTCGTCGTTATACTCAAATATGAATCATCCGTCAATTAAACGTGGAATATATGTCGCCAATTTTGTATATGAAGAAAAAAAATTTATAGCAGATTTAGTAAGAGTTCTCCTCCGAATCCGAAATAATAATTATTCCGATCATGGACTATTGGTTCTCTTGAGCGAATCTCTACTTGGATACTTGAGCGACCGTGGGCACTCACACTTACACGATGAGTCCGAACCTTATCAGTAAGTTATCATTTGTTTAATACGTCATATTTTTGAACTAAATAATTAAATATTTTGTTTTATTCATGAAGATACGCAGTTGATCATTTAAACCTATCAAGAGAATATAAAGGCGTTGACGCGAAATTCACCGAGTTTAATTACAAATTACCTGAGAAACCACGTAAAACCTACATACCATGGTCAATGCGCGGTCTATTAACCGACGAAAAAATAATAATTGCCGAAAAACTTATTTCCGATTTCCAAAGCTTGCGACAAAGCTTCAAATCTTGGTCGCCTAGTCCGTTGGATTTGGTTGCAGTGGAATTGAAGTCTGACTTGCAGCCGTTTGGAGACGATACTGAGGAACAATATATTGAGGTGTATAAAGAGACGCAACCGAAGTTGTAAATAATTAGGACTAATTGATTAATTTTTTGTAGTATTTATTATATGTTATCATCAATATTTATGCATTTCATTGATTAGTAAAGCTGTAATATTTATACAATAAATGCTGCAAATTTCATGTTCTTAAATAACAGAAGAAAAGGAAGTGAATATCCTTCTGTGTTCAAAGTTCTGTGGCCAAGAGACATAAAGGACATTATTCTGGTTTTTTCCGTGTCATTTATCTTTAAAGTGAATATGCGCATATACTGAACTGTGTATGTAATAATGAATGTATACGTATTGTATGAACATATACTGTAATTGTGAATAAGAGTTTAAAATTTTGCTGTGATTTTGCCAGGGTGTGTATGCTGCAACGATACGAAAACCACAATAATTAAATGTAGTGACATGTATAATGGTAAACCACTTTGACTACGTAATTTATCTATTTGGAGATGAGGTAAATTGTTAGTTTAACAAGTTTCATTTTAAAACTAATGATTACGATTATATACGTAGCATTCATCTTTCCTATATTGTTAAAATTGTGCATTTCATTATCGTTATTATTTATAGATTCGCATTCGCCAACGGTATAAAACATTAAGGCACTGTATACCGATACACGTACTACGGAATAATAAATAAACAAAAACAAACCATCGTAAATAAGCGCATCGCCAAAAGATGGTTATATCTTGCGTATTTATTGAATAAATCATTATACAATGAGCTTCACTTTAACTCTCAAGGCTATAAGAAACTAGATCGTATTATGATAACGAATGTAATAATAATCTAACAATTACAATTTATGTTTAGAGATATAATTCTTATAATTTATACGTTTTTCTAGTGAGCACAAAAGCCATTTCTGTCGCTCCATTTATTCATAAACAGGCTCGATAGAAAAGGTTGCGATGCACCTTTATGCAGAATTCAAAACGGGCTAATTGTACTTTCGACTTCAAAGCTACTCTCGGGAGACCCACGAGGTTTCAATTCGCCGTACAAACCAAGGACTTCCTCGGACTAACTATGAAGTATTATCTTATTCCGTTTCCAATCATATAGAGCATGACGTTTTTCATTCCATCTAAATCAAAGCCCACCGGCGAATAATGACTGTTGGTAAACATAAATTCGTTTCAAGTTTTTTGAATAATTTCTTCGTTAGCCAAATCCTAAGGGGTGCCACCCAGCATTCCGACACCCGACAACATTCCGACATCCTAACTTCCCAAAAAACTAGTTCAATTTCTGGTTTATGTCTGGAAATTGAGGTTGATGGAAAGTTGTGTATGTCGGGAAGTTGGATTGTCCGGAAGATGGATTGTCAGGATGTTGGATTGTCGGGAAGGTGGGTGTCGGGAAGATGTTTTTGAGACATGATAAAATTTTTTGTTGACTTATAATGTTATTGGAATTGTTACAGTATGCTATGTTATCATTGTGAGAGTAACAATCTTAGATATCAGTTTACATATAAATGAGTCATGCAAGATTTATATTGTATAATTCATAGTTTTACCAAATGAAAAAAATGTTGGCTAACAACAATGATCGTGAGAATTTTTAGTTTGCCATTTGTTCTATTGTTTCCTATAATATAGACTAACTTTAGCCATTCAACAAATTTTTAACCGTTAGCTGGTTATTATAAGGAAGCTGCAATTTATTAAAAATTTTCTTGTGCTTAACATGAATTATTATCAACTTGAAAAAAAGTAAATTATGCGCGGAACGACGCATTTATGCTGCAAAATTTCAAAACAAAATTTTTTAAAAAGGGAAGACAGTTAATAAAAACATTCTGTACTCTTTTCCATGTTTAAAGTTTTATAGCTAAGAGACAAAATTTACGGTTAAGAAGTTATTTTTTTCTTTGCAATTCTCAATGTTTTTGGTATATTACTAATATTTCACTAAATCAATATGAATTCAAAAATTGTGATTGCCACAACATTAGCAACAGTTGTAAGAATTGCGAAAAGTCGCATTTGTTAACTTAAATGTGATTTGGAGCTACCTTCACCTGGGTGCATCTGAGTTATATTCTGTTGAACAAAATTTCACCCGTTATCACACTGTGGTTTGAATCATTTAATTTCAAAATTTATAAAGCGATTGACGCTAGTCGAAAGGGTTTATTTTTTACCCGTTCAATATCAAGGTTAAATTAAAGTAGAAAATCAACTTTATAATTTTGTTTTTTTACCATTTATATAAATTACATCTGCGTATTAAATTGGTATGGTATATTTCTATCTTCAAAACTAGTGCCTATGTATATTATATCGTTATTATTCTATTCAAATCTATATTTACACTCCAGTTACGATTCCTCAACGTTATTAATAAGTTAACTAATTGATTGAATATATTAGCGTGTCTACAACAAAAAACAAGTTTTTTTCATAATTTGTAGTTTTGAGCACAAAAAGCTTCATTCGTTGCATTCATAAATTCTAAATTTAACCACGTAGAAATGCATTTTTTTTTCTTTGTACCTGAAACTTACGTTTGTCTGCATATTATTAATTGAATTTAGGATCTAGAATATTTCATATTAAGTCATTGCTTTAAGAAACACAAATTTGAAGTACGTCTTCTTTATCTTGTACAATAAAAAACTGCGATAATAATATAAGTAGTGTAAATGTTAATGTGAAAAAATGAACAATCGCTAAACGCGAATTAATAATTCTCTGCTATGTTTAGATCAATATCATATTCTGCATTTTACGTAATACCGAAACAGTTACGCGACATAAATTTGCGTACCGAGATCAGATGGCTTTTTTTAACATGATGTGCCAACCCCCGCATTATACATGTACATCTTCCGCTTCATGTACATTGCAAATCATCTGTATGCACTTCCAATTCACGACAACCATGCAAACAAGCAATCTTTTCAACTAATCTTTGTTAAGATCAAGTTTATTGTGTGATAAAATTGGTGAATTGAAAGAGGTTATTGAATCATGTATGCTTTTCATTGATTGTACCTATTAACGTTAAAGAATATCAAAATGAACTTGATGTGCATTTTTCTTTATATCATTGCAGCAGCGGGTCCTTAAGGGGTTCTTTGAAAATTCGCACTTTATGGAATCGGCAACGTTAAAACCAAAATGGTAAATCAATAAAATATTACGATTTCATATTTAATTACTCTTTGATGCAATCATGAAAGTACATGTACATGAATATTAATATCGTGTTACAGAAAAGTTTTCAAATTGTCAAATTTCTATGCTTGTGTCGTGAAATATTTTATAATACATCTTATAACTTTGATCTTGGTCTTAAAAATGAACAATCAAACTTTTCTAACACGAGCAAAAAAGTTTTTTTATAGCTTGCACTGCATAACGATTTACAGATAAATGTTTTTCCTGTTTCATTATTCTTTGAACAAAAAAATTTTGTCTGCATGCCTATCTATCTATCTATCTATCTATCTATCTATCTATCTATCTATTTATCTATCTATCTATCTATCTATCTATCTATCTATCTATCTATCTATCTATCTATCTATCTATCTATCTATCTATCGATTAATGACAAGTAATTATGAATTAACTCTTACATATTATATTCTGTATTAGAATATAATACACATGTCCATTCAAACATTGAAGATGTCTGAGAAAAATATTTTTAAATACAGTAAACAAATATATCGAGAACAATCAAAAACAACAACATACGTGTATATTTAACCCGAATAAATGCTACTACAACAGCTTTTTAAAAAGATGTATTATAGGATAAAAAGACATTTATTTAAACCTCTTTTATTATACATTTATGTGGGAATCGAGTCTGACTTTTTCAATGCGGCGCATGTCTCTCTTTAAAAATTTTTAAATAATTATATGTTACATTATATAACATACATAAAATTATTTCACGCGTGAGTTTTTGTAGGAATAGATACATGCAAAGTTATTGGAACAAAGTTTCGATCCCCCTATTTTCCGATACTGACGAATTACAAATATTAATTAGTTTCGGTTAGGGTATAGTTATCAAGATTCAGGTTATATTACAAATGGAAGTAGTTAATGTAGCAAAAATTTTCAAGAACATTTTTTTTATTAGGACGCACAAGTTAGTTTCATATGTAAAATTTCGATTTGATTGGTCAAAGGACCGAAACGTAAATAAAAATTCTAAGCTAGTGAAAGCAAAAAATGCCGGCTAGGTCACTATAATAAAATTTTTGTGTTATTTCGCATAGCTTATTAGGTGGTGTTTATTGTTTAATGCACATGTAATAATGACGACGCCGCTTTTTGTCTTAATATTCTATCTAGAATAAGATTTAATATTGCTAAAAGTACTCTCGCATAAAATTATTTATTTAAGCAGTAGATAAAGTTATAAGGAGGAGAATATAGATCACCTAAGGTTTTATGCCTATTTTTATTGTAAGAGAGGAAAAACCTAAGGTACTGTATTGTGAAAACGGATCAAAGAAGAAAGTGGAAATAACAAAGAGAACAAAATAAATAGAAAAGTGAATGATTATTAGAATAAAGAAAAGGAATCAAAAAATAAAAGCAAAACAATTTTATAATAAATGTTAATAATCTCAAAGAACATAAAATCAAATAACAAAATTATATAGCTAGATTCCATATAGTCACATCTGCATTGATCACAATTATGTTACAATCACATAAATTCACTAATTCATATATTATATCAGAATTTATAATAATCACTATCACATTAATTTTCATATTCAATATATAATATATATTTTTATAAATATTACCTGTTATTTTTGCTTGACTGCCAGAGTGTTAAACAAATTACTATTATATTAATTGTCAAATAATTCTTGTTTTACTTATTTAGCTTAATTATAAAAGTTTTTTATATAATATAATCATATTATAATATATAAGTTTAAAAAATTATTATTATAATTAGTTTTATTTTATTTTATTATTATAATTAAAAATTTTTACAAATTTATAAATTTTATTATATTTAAA